TGATGTTCTTTTCGACGGGAAACCGACCGCTGAGCAGCTTCATGAGCGAGGACTTGCCGGATCCGGGCTGGCCGAGCACCAGCGTGATCGTACCGGGCTTGAAGACGCCGCTGACGTTCTTGAGCACCTGCTTCTTGGCGACGTGCTTGCTGGATCGCATTTCACGGAAACCGGTCTTGATGACGTTGATTAGCGTTGGCAGCTCGACTGTGGCGTCGGTCTCGTTCTTGACCATGATGTCGGCCGAGATGGAGACGTCTCGGAATCGCACCTCCATCTGCGGGAGGCTCTTGCCCAGAGCTTTCTCCATACGGGAGGCGACGTGGTCGTGCAGCGCCTGTGGTCCCTGTGCCATGAGGGTCTTGCCGTTGTCGTATTCGATGGTGGCACGCATGGGCGGGTCAGACGCGTTTTGAGCCATGTTTTATAGCAGCGAGTGTGTCCCAGCTAACAAGGTACTTCGTAGTACGTGAAGAAAGGAGAGATCGTGTCGCTGGCTGGACTCAAATTGCGAAGTGATCGGCTACAGTATCGTTGTTTAAACGGTTGCTGCGTTGAGCATATACATTTTCGTGGCTGGCTGAAGCAATGATTTTCGCGAGAGTGCTATAATAATAACAGCTACGGATTCGCTATGGGAAACGTAGCATATGAAGAAGGGGCGGAAATATCGAGATCTGAAATGCGGAGACACTTGCTTGTTTGGATGCGAAAGAAGTTCGGATTGGATAAATTACCTAAGGAACAGTTAAAGCCGCAAGAGATCGAGCGCGCTCATCGTAAAATCAAATATGTGGAGATGAACACCTGCACACACTGTGGAAACAAACATACGAAGGATTGCTGTAAGGACTACGCATGCAATTCAAGAAGCACCAAGCGATACTTCATTAATGCCAAAATAATATCTCCAACAGATTTTTGACAGACTCATAATTCAGAATTACACGTACTCATGATCGGAAGGAAAGTATCCATCCCATGGCCGAGATGGGGCATACGCGAATCCGTGTTGAAATCGAATCGTCTAAGAACCTTGACAGGAATATTGGTCTTCACAAAAGCATCTTCCAAGCTCGTAAATGGACGTTTCTTCGCGATTCGGGCACGGTAGGCCGGGCCTACACCCTCCACGAACTCCAGCTGAACCTCGGAGCTCGTGTTGATGCACGGTAAAACGGAACACACTTGATGAAGTGTGCACGAGTAGCAAATGGGCCGTAGTACGCTTCCCAGCAGGTGGCATCAACAAATGCGGAGTTCGGCAGCAACCATAGGTCAACCCGTCACTACGCTCGTGCAATATAAGATGAATAGGTCGTCGGGACCAGCAGCCTCAACCGCTCTTGCTCGAAAACGTCCAGTGATAGATTCCCTTCGACGCATTTACACTGATGAACCTCGTGAAAGAAGCCCTTCGTCGCATCTTCCAGACACAGAAATGCATCTTCGGACGGAGACCCGTCTGCAGGCTTAATCATTACCGCAAGAGCACCTTTCTTTCTTAAATCCTTTGGTCTTCGTTGGCATCCGCTTGTCAGCTAGCGCATACGTCAATTGCCGCTCAATATCGCGTCGATTGCATCCATCGCCAACCCGTGCCCCATGAATCATGATGGCCCATGATGTATATCCGTCTCGATTGATTTGAACAACGATACTGCCTGCAGTTCTCACACGGGTCACGTTTGTTGTTTCAGCGTTCGTCTTCGATCGTCCTTGTCTTTAATTGGTCGATTCGTTTAGCGTTGTGTAGTTTGATGTAACGTTTGTGTCAGTTTGATGTACCAGCTGTCTAACGTTATTTCGTTAGTGCGCCTCGCGTAGAAGGGATGGTGGCGCGGAAATGGTTCCTGCTCGTAGGCGAAGATGGGAACGCGGTGACGTCGACTGATGCTGTTATCGTGGATATCGAAGATGTTGTTGCGTTCCGAAAGGCAGTGAAGAAAGAGTTCAGAGACAGCCACCTAGCAGGGATTGCTGCGTCCGATCTCACAGTCTTTGCGAACCGGGCGGAGTACGATGCGAAGCGAAGCGTGCTGCTGCCCCAGTCGGGGTCCCCAGTTACGGCGTATGGGAATAATGAAGATAATGCGCTCATTGTGCAAGTGCCGAAGCGCGCAGAAAGCGATTCACGCTATTTTATCCAGCCAAACGTTCAAGAACAAGTCGAAAAGGCAGTATTTGTGATCGTGGAAGAAGACGAAGAACGCAACGGTGTTGGAATGGGTGTGTTTTTCAGCCCGACTCTAGCGGTGACATGCGACCATAACCTAACGGAGCAACACACTGTGGGAAGCATGGTGTCTCTGGCGTTGAAGGAAGGTATTGAAGCTGTTGAAGTTGTTGCTCGCAGCTCTCTGCTGGACTTTGCGATTTTGAAGTCGTCCAAACCCAGATCATTCTTCATTCCTCCATGGAATGGAAGACCAGATGAACTAAGAGGACGCTATGATCTTGTGTTGGCATCGTATCGACTCGGTATTGACGAATACCAAGACGTGTTCAAGAATCAACTGGGATTTGCTCCGGTAGCCGGTATCTCCATCAGTGCTCACAGAAGACACATCATGTATTCGTGCCCAACGTACGCTGGAGATTCTGGTGCTGCACTTCTTATCAAGGATGGATTTCTTGTCGGTATCCATCTGGAAACGATCAATGCACTCCGCGAAGAGATGGACCGCAAGAAAACCGTCAAGGATCGCTTGAATGATGTGGAGGAGTCTCTGGACAACATTGCGAGAAGCGGACTAGCGCAAGGCTGCTCAGGTCTTTTGGTTCATGAGTTCAAGGACGTAGTGAGCGAGTAGTGCGAATTGACGAGTTCATAAATTAATGGCACATCGCAGTTATGAAAAAACGGTGTCACAACGAATGTTACATCCTCGGTAGCCAAAATCGGAGGGTGCACGTCGCGATCTCACATTTACCGATATACCATGAATTCATGACCTGATTGGACAAAAACAATCATGAATTCATGAACGAAACCACCCCGTAAACCGGTATTGTACCGACAAAAAAGGCAACCACCTTATCAGAAGCAACACTTCTACACTGAGATATATAGATTGATCTAGAGTTGCTATCGTGGCTTCTAATGAAAAGAAAGATGGACATAATAGCTGGACGCAAGCCGAACACAATGCCTCTCGCAACAATGAGCTCGTCATCTAAGTGTATCGAAACATAGCAATACCCCCCTGTTTCGATAGAGGATACAAGATAATTCACACATGGACACTTCGATAATGTCGATTCCGTTAATGTGTCGTACTCATACAATATTTAGCGATGACACTATAAACTGATGAGCCCGCTAATGTGTCGTCTGCTGATAATTCCTGAGTACGACATCTTAAAAAATGACGAGTCCATCTTAAGCGAAGTCTATTAAGAATAAACAAAACATAATTTTAGTCACACAACTACGAAAATGTGCAGCTTCATTAAAAGCAACGTGGAGCAGTGAAACTTGCTCGCAACAAAGAATGTGGCAACAACGCGATTATTATTGATCGAGAGGAAATTATTGTCGTAGAGACTTATATAATAGAAGAAATGCCGCCTCAACCGAATACCCCAGCTATTGCTGAGGTTGTTCATACACCAACCCCATCGGTGATCAAGCCCGTCAAGGTCTCGAATATCTGTATAAGCAAAGATCCAGAATTGGATGAGTCGATTCTCGCACCGGTGATCGCGGTTAGCGTGGTATATAAAGAGGATCAAAGTTCGGAATCAGAATTAACCCCTCCGTTACCAGAAAGTCCGAGTTGGAACCGCCTAATATAAATCGTAGCTTACGACTTCGTTTTTACAGTACTAATTGTATGTGCGTGTCTTGTCCACGTCAATATCTCCTCGATTCCCGCTACTAGCTCCCAGAGGTTTAAAATCTAAGTCGTAAGCGTTACGACATTGTGAGCAAAATATAATTCGGAAAGCCAAAACTTACGACTTTCAGACTGCAACGCACATTTTTTTGTTAGCAACAGATCCTTCCTTGCCAATCCATAAAAATGTACGAATATCAAGTAAACGCAGTGCTACCTAATCCATTCATACGATTGCTGACTGTAGAACATCCTGGTCTACAAGCTCTTCCGCCTCATTATTAGCGTCGCCATCTTGACAAATCAGCTCTCGTCACGTGGGCTTACGTGCATCCACCTTGCCTGAGCGCCGCAAGACGACGCGGTTCCCGAGGGATGCTGGGATGGAAACCTCACTCTCGAAGTCTTCATGCCAAATTTGGTAGCATGTCTTTCGTGCACCCCTGTAATTATGCCGCGACTTGGGGCACAGGGAGCACTTCGCACCAGGCTGTGAGCAGTCTTTACAGTAGTAAGTGGTCTGAAATGGTTTCTTTCGCTCGCCGCGGAGAAGAGCGCAAACTTTACAGGAACGTTGACGGCATTTCTGGACGGCTGATACGATTACCCAGTCGTCAAACTGCACATGCACGTGACCAATTAGTCGGCGGCGCTTTCTGGCGCGCGCCACAGGAGAAGGAGTAGGGGTAGAGGCGTCGACAAAGTCGTCTGCAGTGAGCTGCAGTAGTTGTTTGTGCAGGAGGATATACCAGTCTCCACGGTCTTTAGGTACGAGTCGCTTGAGCCGACACGTCTCCTTCTGTGTGAGGTATGCACTCACCAGTGCCATGTCTATCAAACCCATGAGCAGTGATTTGTAGTAATTCTGGAATCGGAACGCTGTCTGAATCGAATACGACTGGATGCGGAATTGATCATGGACATCAACGCCGCTCATCCGGCGTTGATTTTTCGGTAACGAGCTCCGGGCACTTAAATGTTGACGGTCCTACCATTTTGATGTTTTAATGGATTGAGTCTTCTACCATGGTAGGACCTAGTGTACTGATTTCCTGTCCCACCAATGGCAGGCAATCATGGTCAGAATAGCATCTAACCGCGAGAACGCGAAGGATCCCCGTTCTATCGCAAGCGGTCTTGTTTTGAGTTTCGAAGTGACTTGCTTATCAAGCGCCTAGCCGGTTAATCATGATCGTCCCTAGCCCGTAGACCGACATCGATAGAAGCTGTATGGCCCGCGGTGTCGAGGAATAGAAACGGTCGATTACAACCAGTCGAAATCCCAGAGATGCCCCACTCAGAACAGCCTTCATGTTTCGTATCACTGCTGCTGCCCCCGTCTTGTTTTTGACCTTTTGTTGGTCCCTATCTTCTGTATCTCGCTTCCCGACGTACATCTCAAAGCTGTAGTCGCAAGTCACGACATGGAACAAATCGAATAAGAAATTAATGTCAAACGTTACGACTTATTATTTTCCATTAAAAAAACTCACCGATGACAGTACGCACCCTTGGAATCGCACACCATGAACAATTTGGTTCCGTAGCGGTGGGGATTGTCGGGCATGAACATCCGTGTTGT